GAGACCAATGAGTCCACTTAGACCAGTGAGTCCACTGAGACCACTCTGTCCACTGTGACCAGTGAGTCCACTTAGACCAATGAGTCCCCTTAGACCAGTGAGTTCACCGAGACCAGTGAGTCCCCTTAGACCAGTGAGTTCACCGAGACCAGTGAGTCCACTTAGACCAGTCAGTTCAGAGACCTCCATGACCCAGATCAAGGTTCATTTGGTCTTTAGATCCATTAAATTCATTTAGCCATCCCACCAATCAGCAGGTTTTAGTTCCCAGTAAAACCTGGTGTTTGCTTCTATCACCAGTTTGTTTTCAGTGACAGGCTGAAGTCCGGTCCGATCAGAACTAAGCCCCTGTTTGTCTCTGAATTAGGCCAGTCCGATATCCGGCCCTGGAAAGCCCTGTGGACTCAACGTCCTGATTAATCTAATCCACAGACAGAGTCGGTTCAGTTCCCCAATAATCATTCAGATCTGGTTTATTTCATCAGAACTCTGAACCGGGTCAGAACAGACCTTCATTCTGAGATCAAATATAAAATGATTCACTGTAAAAACACTTCTGTTTATGTTACACTTACAGTAATTAGCTGTAAAAATGATTTAAAATAATGTGAATTTAATGTTTTTACATAAAACTGACATGTTTGTTGAGTTTTGTTGTGGAGAAATTACTTCTCTTTTGATGTTTTAGTGCCTCTTGGAACAAAGAAAGAAAAAACCTCCTTTTTTATATTTTTTAACTGTGTTTTATTCAGATTTTACTTCAAAATTCAGTCAAATATTCACAAAATACAGAATCATTTCCAGTCTTTGTATTTAATCAGATTTAGTTTTTTTTTTTCTGAGACAAAGAAACAAAAACATTTTATGGTTTAAATAACTGATTAAATCTAAGTTTTTGTTGTTTTACCTGCCGATAGAATCAGAGTTTAACAAAAAAATAAAATAAATAAAAGTTTTTCCTCCACATTTGATGTGATTTTAACATGCAGATCAGCCGGGCAGGTCTGAGACGTACCTGGAGGCCATCAGGAAGAACATCGAGTGGCTGAAGAAACACAACAAAGATGGAGGGAAAGACGGTGAGACTGATTGATTTACTTTATAAAACAGGCCTGAGCTGCTTTTATTCTTCAGTCTGTGCTGAAATACCCCCCCCCCCTACTCCTCCGCTCTTTAATTAGCATTTTAAAAGCCAGTTGAAACAGAAACACCATGAATACACTTCCTGCTGCAGATGTTTGCTGTTGTGATGGACGACAGCAGTGGTGGGCACCAGCATGCTAAAGCGCAAATCCGCTAATTACGGACCTAAATATTTTGTTTCGCTTTAGCGGTCTTACTAATTTTTATAATTCATAAGTAGATTTGTGCTTTCTAAAATTAAAAAGCAGTATCACTAATAACTAATTATCTACCAGTCATCATTATGTTGAACAGCAGAAGGTTTGACTGTCAATGAATCACAACATGTGATCTATCCAACAGCACCCCTCCCAGATAAACACACTTATTGTGAAGGTATACATCCTGCTGACTGTTGCTT